AGTTCTAAGGAATTGCTAACACTGGGCAAGATCAGCCTAGTCCTTCTGTGAGGACTGAACACATCGGTCTCAATTCCTTGATAGCTTCATTTGTCCTCACTTAGGGTAAATGAAAATTTCAAGATTTGGCTACAACTTCATTCTTTGAAAAGTACTATTTGACAGAAAGTGAGATTAGGGGTGCTGGCTCTGAAGACAAAGCTTAGATTCAGGCCTAGCTTCACCATTTACACCAGTCCCCTAATTTTGATGTTTGCTTATGATATAAGGCACTCAGGAGCACGAGCCAAGCACACAGTAAGTGTTCAGTAAATGTTGGCATTACTAAGTTCAGACAGCACCACTGATAAACTAAGTTCAGATTTCAGAAGCCTCCAGCTAAGTGACACCCTGGTGACATTTTTAGATCATAGGCCTTTGGGAAGAATTATGAGAGGAATGGAGCTCCTGTGGTACCAAGAAATAAACGTTAAAGGAGGCTATTTCATCACAGAGCAACTTCTGGACTTCAAGAAAAGTGAAAAGAGAGGCTTGGGTAAGGAAGATAAAAGCCCTCCCACTGCTCTGCATACTGACCTAGGGGATGCTTCCTTCTACTCTGTCGTTAGATCCTCAAGCTGGCCAAAAAAAGCATTCTTTAACCTAAATCATCCCCATGGCTCAATCTCTACACCTCCATCACCAAGGAAAACCCACTTCTCTCATCTGAAAGGTCTGCTGTTCACAAAGGCCCTCCATCCATCCGAACCAAGACGCCAATAAAGGACTTTTACTGCAGGTTTCTTTGCTGCATTCGAATTACACAATGTAAGGGGTAAAATGTACAACCCTACATAAAAACCCCAGCATCAAAGAAGCCAAAAAAAAACACCAGCATCACACATTTCCTCTAAACTCACAGTACAAAAGCAAATCATGGAAATGACGCGGGAGGGAATAAACAACAGCATATTTTCTTCACATCAGTCAGTATGTATTCCCCGGTGAAATTCATTGTTCCACTATTCAAAGGGAAGTTCTGTCCTTGAGAACACCCAAAATTATGCTATTATGTGGGGGCATCAGCAGCATCCTCGGCATTGGGAGAAAAAGCCAAGCTTGTTCTCTGTACAAAGCTCGTTCTCTGTACAAAGTTGTTGCTCCATAAATAGTGCAACAATAGGATCAGGCCAGGCGTGGCTCGTGCCTGTAATCCCAGCACTTTGGGAGGCCAAGACAGGTGGATCACCTGAGGTCAGGAGTTCAAGACCAGCCGTCTTACTAAAAATACAAAATTAGCCTGGCATGGCGGTGGGTGCCTGTAACCCCAGCTACTTGGAAGGCTAAGGCAGGAGAATCGTTTGAACCCGGAGGCGGAGGTTGCAATGACACACGATCTTGGCAACAAGAGCGAAACTCTATCTCAAAAAATAAAAACAACAAAAGGATGATTGCATCCTTACCAGACTCCTGCAAGGGTCTCCACATGCCTTGTCCTGTGAGGTCCTGAGGTCAGTACAGTCACAGCTGAGCAGAGCACGGGCACTTCTAAGTAGGAAGGCACGACAGTAAGAGAGAAGTTTCCAGCATTGGAAGCTTCCTGCAGTTCACACAACACTTCAGATGAACTAGGTATAGTTTCCCTGAAAAAAATCAAAGTTCAATTCTGATAGCTTCATCTTGCTCAATCATTACTTTTCATGGCTGCTTCAACTCTCTTAAACTCTTAAGAAGCTAAGGAGGAGAAAAATGACTCTCATCTGTAGGATTTGAGGCTCTAGCCTTTCATTGACATAGCAGATGGATCCTGAAACCTGTTAGCTGCCAGATTTTTTCTTTTCTTTTTTTTTAGACAGAGTCTCACTCTGTCACCCAGGCTAGAGTGCAGTGGCGCCATCTCGGCTCATTGCAACCTCCACCTCCTGGGTTCAAACAGTTCTCCTGCCTCAGCATCCTGAGTAGCTGAGACTATAGGCACATGCGACCACACCTGGATTTTTTGTATTTTTAGTAGAGACAGGGTTTCACCATGCTGCCCAGGCTGGCCTCAAACTCCGGACCTCAGGTGATCCACCTGCCTCGGCCTCCCAAAGTGCTGGGATTACAAGCATGAGCCACTATGCCCAGCCAGGTGTCAGGCTTTGTACCCTCCCTGTATCTCAGAGTTGGCCGGGTGGCTTTAGTAAGTTGGGAGCTGTAGCACATACATTTGTTTAAGTGTATTTAACATTTTTCTTTTTTAAACTGCAGACTGAGATCTGACTAAACAATTGCAAATTTCTAAGCATTTTTTAATTCCACAGTTAGAAACCCTTCATCTGGAGTGGTGTCGGTATGACATAGAAATTGCAGAAAGGCGGGCCGGGCACGGTGGCTCATTCCTGTAATCCCAGCACTTTGGGAGGCCGAGGCAGGTGGATCACGAGGTCAAGAGCTCGAGACCATCCTGGTCAACATGGTGAAACCCCGTCTCTACTAAAAATACAAAAAATTAGCTGGGCATGGTGGCACATGCCTGTAATCCCAGCTACTCAGGACGCTGAGGAAGGAGAATTGCTTGAACCCAGGAGGCGGAGGTTGCAGTGAGCAGAGATCGCGCCATTGCACTCCAGCCTGGGTAACAAGAGCAAAACTCCGTCTCAAACAAATAAACAAACGAACAAACAAGAAGCTGCAAAAAGGCAAATTATTCTATTTTGTATGTATTAGAATAGTATTAGAATTAATATTATTTATCCTTCCGAACCACAGTTCAAAAAAGAACTAATACTATTAAAAAAAAAAAAAAAGAATTAATACTATTTAAATGTATTAGAATAGTATGAGGAAATAGAACCTTTTTCTGCATAAATTCAGAAATGGCAGATTCACAGCAGGCTGGAACAGAAACAGCAGGACTCTTCAGAAACACCAGAATTTTTAAATTAATTAATTAATTTATTTTATTTTATTTATTTATTTATTTTTTGAGACGGAGTTTCGCTCTTGTTACCCAGGCTGGAGTGCAATGGCACGATCTCAGCTCACTGCAACCTCCGCCTCCTGGGCTCAGGCAATTCTCCTGCCTCAGCCTCCTGAGTAGCTGGGACTACAGGCGTGCGCCACCATGCCCAGCTAATTTTTGTATTTTTAGTAGAGACGGGGTTTCAACATGTTGACCAGGATGGTCTCGATCTCTCGACCCCGTGATCCACCCGCCTCGGACTCCCAAAGTGCTGGGATTACAGGCTTGAGCCACCGCGCCCGGCAAGAAACATCAGAATTTTTTAAGTCAAGTTCTAGCTATTTTGCCTGGGCAGGTCTCAAACTTCTAGGTTCAAGCTATCCTCCTGCCCCAGCCTCCCACGTAGATGGGATTACAGAGCATGCCCCATTATATCCCACTCACGTCTTCTGATTAATCTATCAATAAGGGCTAAGAGCATTCAGCCTTAGAAAATCTTTGAGCCGGGTGCGGTGGCTCAAGCCTGTAATCCCAGCACTTTGGGAGGCCGAGGCGGGTGGATCACGAGGTCAAGAGATCGAGCCCATCCTGGTCAACATGGTGAAACCCCATCTCTACTAAAAGTGCAAAAAACTAGCTGGGTGTGGTGGCACGTGCCTGTAATCCCAGCTACTCAGGAGGCTGAGGCAGGAGAATTGCCTGAGCCCAGGAGGCGGAGGTTGCGGTGAGCCGAGATCGCGCCATTGCACTCCAGCCTGGGTAACAAGGGTGAAACTCCGTCTCAAAAAAAAAAAAAAAAAAAAAAAGAAAATCTTTGAATGAGATCCCTCATTCCCTGTGGTTCTCTCAATTCAAGGTAGCATGATATTATCTCTGAAGTTGTTCCTGAAGACAGATAAAGAGAGGATGAATGGCCAGGGCTAGAGCATGACCCACAACAAGGCTAAGTGAATGTATATAAAGCGTAAGGCAGCAGCTCTCTCCCTTTGGTGGGCATCAGAAATACCTGTGTACCTTTCTAAACACATGAGGGCTTAGATCTCAACTCCCTACATCTCCAAAGGTGGAGCTCCAGGCAGATAGGTCTTGCCAAAGTTTAGCTGGCAATTCTGGTATGTGTCACAGAGAACTATTGGTACAATGTTTCTGGCAGACATATACACAACCTTTATTTTGTGTAACTGGAGATAATTTATCAATGGTACATTTTACAAGATCACTACTGTAAGAATTCCTTTCTCGACTAGGCTTGACGGCTCATGCCTTTAATCCCAGCACTTTGGGTGGCCAAGGCAGGTGGATCACCTAAGGTCAGGAGTTTGAGACCAGCCTGGCCAACATGGTAAAACACTATCTCTACTAAAAATATGAAAAAATTAGCCAGGCATGGTGGTGCACGCCTGTAATCCCAGCTACTTGGGAGGCTGAGGCAGGAGAATCGCTTGAACCCAGGAGGTGGAGGTTGCGGTGAGCCAAGATCAAGCCACTGCACTCCAGCCTGGGCAAGAGCCAAACTCCATCTCAAAAAAAAAAAAAAAAGAGAATTCCTTTTTGTCTATCCTGGCTGCTGATTACCCAGCAACAGGCATACATAAAATGTCAATTCCCTTCATAACCAAAGTTAGAATTTTATTTTTTTATCACCACCTGCTTTCATATATATACATACATATATATATATATATATATTTTTCGAAGTTAGAATTTTAAATGAACGTTTGCTTTTCACATTTTGCTTCTTTTATATGGTAGAGTTAGGATGGACTTTTTAACTTATTTGCAGCTAGTTTCACTGAAAATACTTCTGGTTTTTGTGTGCTACTAATTTCTTGTCTTAATGTTTTAAAGATAGAGATTAAAATAAGACCATAAGGAAAACATTCATCTTAGCAACATCTGATAAAAAGAAGAAAAAAGCCAGGCACGGTGGCTCACGCCTGTAATCCTAGCACTTTGGGAGGCTGAGGTGGGTGGATCACCTGAGGTCAAGAGTTCAAGACCAGCCTGGCCATCATGGTGAAACCCCATCTTTTTTTTAAAAAAAAAAAAAAAAAAACAAGAAGAAAAAAAACCCTTATTTTAACTTAGCATTGATTTTTACTAAACTTATTTACTTTTTTTTTTTGAGACAGTCTTGCTCTATTGCCAGGCTGGGAATATAGACGTGAGCCACCACACCAGGCCAGTTTTTACTCAACTTAAGCTTTAGTTTAGGCAACAGATCACAACTTCCTTCCCCAGTTACTAACGCCCAGATTGTTTCAGATCCCCAAACGGGAAGTCCAAAATATCATGCTGTAGAATTCTCATGTCTTAGCTTCTGCAGTGTTTCTCTGCAAAGGGGCCAGGATGACCCCAGCATTCCTGTCTTCACTCTCAGAGCTGTACAAATTATGATTTTCAATGTACTCTTGGACAAGATCTGGTACCAAGTAGCGAATGCTCTGGCCCCTTCTGAGGGCTCTCCGGATTTTTGTGGATGAGATGTCATTGGTGATCCATTCATTCACCACATGAATGTTGCTCCGGTGTTTCCACAGCACATCCGATTCATAGATAAATTTCTGAGCATCATTTCCAGCCCGAGTAACACATATGAGCCCATAGTCAGCCACGATTTGGGTGATGTCTTCACTCTTCCACAAATTGGGAACAGCAAAGGACTCCAGTAAATCTGCCCCACACAGCAGCTTGACCTTAGGTGCAGCTGGGAAGAATAAAACAGAGCTTCAGGGTCTGCTTTTTCTTCCCCCTACCTTCTCCAAGTGGAAAGGGGTTTACTTTTCTAATAACTCATTGTATCAAAATGAAGGTATACATGTGCTTTTCAAGAATGAGGGTTGGGGCTGGGCACGGTGGCTCATACCTGTAATCCCAGCACTCTGGGAGGCCAAGGCGGGTGGGATCACTTGAGGTCAGGTGTTTGAGATCAGCCTGGCCAACATGGAGAAAACCCGTCTCTACTAAAAATACAAAATTTGCCAGGGGTAGTGGTATATACTTGGGAGGCTGAGGCGGGAGAATTGCTTGAACCCAGGAGGCAGAGGTTACAGTGAGCCGAGATCACGCCATTGCACTCCAGCCTGGGCAACAAGAGCAAAACTCTGTCTCAAAAAAAAAAAAGAAGAAGAGTTCACAGTTTTTATAAGAATCAGATTCCCAAAAGAGATCCAGAACACCTCAAAAATTAGAGACCACTGCAGGAGAAATAAGCTCGGGTGCCTTTTACTCTTCTTCGCTTCATGAAACTAACAAGGGGCATTTTCTAGACGCCAAATATGCAATATAAAATGAAAATATAGGCTAGGCTGGGCATGGTGGCTCATGCCTATAATCCCAGCACTTTGGGAGGCCGAGGTGGGCAAATCATGAGGTCAGAAGATCAAGATCGGCCAGGCGCGGTGGCTCAAGCCTGTAATCCCAGCACTTTGGGAGGCCGAGGCGGGTGGATCACGAGGTCAAGAGATGGAGACCATCCTGGTCAACATGGTGAAACCCCTTCTCTACTAAAGATACAAAAATTTAGCTGGGCATGGTGGTGTGTGCCTATAATCCCAGCTACTCAGGAGGCTGAGGCAGGAGAATTGCCTGAACTCAGGAGGCGGAGGTTGCGGTGAGCTGAGATCACGTCATTGCACTCCAGCGTGGGTAACAAGAGCGAAACTCCGTCTCAAAAAAAAAAAAAAAAAAAAAAGAAGATCGAGATCATCCTGGCTAATATGGTGAAACCCCGTCTCTACTAAAAATACAAAAAATTAGCAGGCCGCGGTAGCACACGCCTGTAGTCCCAGCTGCTGAGGAGGCTGAGGCAGGAGAATTGTTTGAACCCAGGAGGCAGAGGTTGCAGTGAGCTGAAATTGTGCCACTGCACTCCAGCCTGGACAACAGAGCAACACTCCATCTCAAAACCAAAAAAAAAAAAAAAAGAATGAATGAAAGAAAATACAAGCCAGGTGTAGTGGCTCACACCTGTAAACCTAATACTATGGGAGATCAAAGCGGGAGGATTGCTTGAGGCCAGAAGTTCAAGACCAACCTGGCCAACATAATGAGATCCCATCTCTAAAAAACAAAAAAATACACAGAGGTTTGCTCAGCTATAGAATCTTATCAGCTCTAGTCCATGAGTCCTGATGAAACATACAAACCTTTTGTTTTCGGATCTAGGGATTTCTTTTGATTAGAATCTTGTTTTGGCTCAGTCCACTTCCTCTTCCGTCCAGGCCTTTCTAGCATAGGTGAATTCTGCTGGTGATCACAGTTACTAGCCTCCAGTTTCTCTTGATGGTGTCTATAAAACAACAGTACAATAGAATGTTCTGCTTTCTCACAATGCCCCGTTAAGAGTATCATTAACATTATTTATTTATTATTTTGAGATGGAGTCTTGCTGTGTCACCCAAGTTGGAGTGAGTGCAGTGGCAAAATTTCAGCTCACTGCAACCTCTGCCTCCTGAGCAGCTCCACAGGTCCACACCACCACGCTGGGCTATTTTTTTTCTGTATTTTTAGTAGAGATGGGATTTCCTCATGTTGGCCAGGCTGGTCTTGAACTTCTGACCTCAAGTGATCCGCCCCTCTCCATCTCCCAAAGTGCTGGGATTACTGGCATAAGCCATCACGCCTGGCCAACATTATTTATTTATTTTGTGCCACACCCTACACTGAATCCTTTACATGAATTATCTGGTAAAATCCTCTCAACATAAGACAACTGTTGTGGAGGACTAAAAAGATATTAAAAAATCGAAAGGGCATGGTGGCTTATGCCTGTAATCCCAGCAGTTTAGGAGGCTGAGGCAGGCATATCACAAGGTCAGGAGTTCGAGACCAGCTGACCAACATGCTGAAACCCCGTCTCTACTAAAAATACAAAAAATTAGCCAGTTGTGGTGGTACACACCTGTAATCCCAGCTACTAAGGAGACTGACGCAGGAGAATCACTTGAACCCAGGAGGCGGAGGCTGCAGTTAGCCAAGATCGCGCCACTGCACTCTGAGTGACAGATGGAGACTCGGTCTTAAAAAAAAAAAAAAAAAAAAAAAAAAAGATGGGGTTTCACCATTATGGCCAGGCTGGTCTTGAACTCCTGACCTCAGGTGATCCACCCACCTCAGCCTCCCAAAGTGCTAGGATTACAGGCATGAGCCACAGCGCCCGGCCTCCAGCTACTTTTTTTTTTTGAGACAGTCTTGTGTTGCCCAGGCTGGAGTGCAGTTGTACAATCTCAGTTCAATGTAACCTCTACCTCCCAGGCTCAGGTAATTCTCCTGCCTCAGCCTCCAGAGTAGCTGGAATTACAGGCATGCACCACCACGCCCAACTAATCTTTTTATTTTTAGTAGAGATGGGGTTTTGCCATGTTGGCCAGGCTGGTCTTGAATTCCTGGCCTCAGGTAATCCGCCTGACTCAGCCTCCCAAAAGTGTTGGGATTACAGGCATGAGCCACCACATTCAGCCTTAGTTCTTTTACTTCTAAGTACTTTTTGATGAAGAATTTAAATCTCTTTCCACTTAAAATACCCAGAGTGGTTTCTACTTCCTCATCTGAATCCTAACTGATGTAGTTGGTAACTGGAAGGTTCAGAACTCTAAGAACAGATACTAAACAGAAAGTCTTTTCAGAAAGCCCTTTTATTTTAAACTCAAGATAACAATAGGCCAGGCATGGTAGCTTACACTTGTAATCCCAGCACTTTGGGAGGCCTAGGTGGGAGGACTGCTTGAGGCCAGGAGTTTGAGATCAGCCTACGCAACATATCGAGACCCCATATCCAACAAAATAAAGAAATTTTTTTTTTTTTTTTTTTTTGAGATGGAGTTTGGCTCTCGTTACCCAGGCTGGAGTGCAATGGCGCAATCTCGGCTCACCGCAACCTCCGCCTCCTGGGTTCAGGCAATTCTCCTTCCTCAGCCTCCTGAGTAGCTGGGATTACAGGCACGTGCCACCATGCCCAGCTAATTTTTTGTATTTTTAGTAGAGACGGGGTTTCACCATGTTGACCAGGATGGTCTCGATCTCTCGACCTTGTGATCCACCCGCATCGGCCTCCCAAAGTGCTGGGATTACAGGCTTGAGCCACCGCGCCCGGCCTAAGAAAAGAAAATTTTGAAAAATCAAAACAACATTAAGAAATAATTGGGTGTCGGCTGGGCCCGGTGGCAAGCCTGTAATCCCAGCACTTTGGGAGGCTGAGACAGGCAGATCACCTGAGGTCGGGAGTTCAAGACCAGCCTGCCCAACATGATGAAACCTCATCTCTACTGAAAATACAAAAAATTAGCTGGGCGTTGTGATGGTGCCTGTAATCCCAGCAACCAGAAGGCTAAGGCAGGGAAATTGCTTGAACCCGGGAGGCAGAAGTTGCTGTGAGCCAAGATCGCACCATCGCACTCCAGCCTAGGCGACAAGAGTGAAACTCTGTCTCAAAAAAAAAAAAAAAAAAAGGAATAATTAGGTGTTAGTAGGCCGAGGCAGGTAGATCACCTGAGGTTAGAAGTTCAAGACCAGGCGGAGGTTGCGGTGAGCCGAGATCGCGCCATTGCACTCCAGCCTGGGTAACAAGAGCGAAACTCCGTCTCAAAAAAAAAAAAAAAAAAAAAAAAAGAAGTTCAAGACCAGCCTGGCCAACATGATGACATGATGAAACCCCATCTCTACTAGCAATATAAAAATTAGCCAGGGGTGGTGGCGGGCACCTGTAGTCCCAGCTACTCAGGAGGCTAAGGCAGGAGAATTGCTTGAACCCAGGAGGGAGAGGTTGCAGTGAGGTGAGTTCATGCCACTGCACTCCAGCCTGGGCGACAGAGCAAGACTCTGTCTCAAAAAAAAAAAAAAAAAAAAAAAAAGGGAGGGCCGGGTGCAGTGGATCACGCCTGTCATCCCAGCACTCTGGGATGCCAAGGTGGGTGAATCACCTGAGGTCAGGAATTCAAGACTAGCCTGGCCAACATGGCAAGAACCCATCTCTACAAAAAAACACAAAAATTAGCCAGGCATGGTGGCACACACCTATAACCCCAGCTACTTGGGAGGCTGAGGTAGGAGAATTGCTCCAACCCAGGAGGCAGAGGATGCAGTGAGCCCAAATCACGCCACTGCACTCCAGCCTGGGCAACAAAGTGAGACACCGTTAAAAAAAGAAAAAAAAAGAAAAATAATTAGATGTCACTTGCTCTGGTCTCTGAACCCTTAACTAGAATTGCTTCAAAGGTATGAGCACAGAGATTCGTGACTCTCTCCAGATGCTGTCATGGAAGCAGCATACAAATCAGGCCTGTCCATGGTCAAGCAGCACTTGATGCTTCTCTTCCTTAAATTATCTGCCTATCACTTTTATACTTAGGAAGACTGATAATCATAACATCTTCCTGCAATTTTGCCTCCCTCATTTGGGGCTCAGATAGACCAGGCCAGCTTCCTCTATTTTCTAATAGTGATAACACATAGCAGCAAGCATGCAATGTAACCTCTGCCCCCCGGGGTTCAAGTGATTCTCCTACCTCAGCCTCCCAGGTAGCTGAGATTACAGGCACACACCACCACACCCAGCTAATTTCTGTATTTTTAGTAGAGATGGGTTTTCATCACATTGGCCAGACTAGTCTCGAACTCCTGACCTCAAGTGATCCAACCGCCTCTGTCTCCCAAAGTGCTGGGAATACAGGCGTAAGCTACCACACCCGGCCACAAACATCTTAAAACATAATGAAAGACACAGAGGGGCTAAGGAATACCCATCCTCTGGTACTGTGCTCTACAGTCTTAATAGTAACCTTCCACAGGAATGGCTTATAACATATGTGACAGTTTTGCAAATCTGTCACATTTTTGTATGTTCACAGATATAAGCAACATGGAAACATGGTAAAAACAAGCTGCCTAGCCATTTACACAGAACTGACAAAGCCGATTCCACTGTGAGTACCTTAGCACCTTAAGAGTCTCTTTCCACTCCTTCTGAAGACTTTCCCATGTATCAACTTCCACCCATTTGGAATTCTTGGTGGCAAGTTCTGCCATGATGATCCGGTGATGGGCAGGAATGAGTCCTTTCTTCTTATAGGCATCACCAACGGGAGAGATGATGCCTTTGACAACTCGGTATCTTCCTAGATAAAGAGTTAGGTTTCACATTAGGTATAACAAATTAGATTTTATGCACAGGAAATATTATGATCAATATTATGTTTTGTTTTGTTTTGTTTTGAGACAGAGACTTGCTCTTGTTGCCCAGGCTAGAGTGTAGTGGCATGATAGCTCACTGCAACCTCCGCCTCCCAGGTTCAACCAATTCTCCTGACTCAGCCTCCCAAGTAGCTGGGTTACAGATGTGTGCCACGATGCCTGGCTAATTTTTGTTATTTTTAGTAGAGATGGGGTTTCACTGTTAGCCAAGCTGGTCTCGAACTCCTGACCTCAAGTGATCTGCCTGCCTCGGCCTCCCAAAGTGCTGGGACTACAGGCGTGGGTCACCATGCTTGGCCAATATTGTTTTGTAATTACTGATTCTCTTGCTTTGGGGATTCCAGCTTATTAGCAGATTGATCAATTAACTGACTGAAATTACGGTAAAATATAAATTACACAAAAATTTCCCATTTTAACCACTTGAGTATACAGTTCTATGATAGTAAGTGCAAGCACACTGTTGTGCAACCATCGCTCTCATCCCTAGAATGTTTTCATCTTCCCCAACTGAAACTCTGTACCTCACCTCATTCCCCTATACAGTTAAATTTCTATTGATATTGCCAAATCACTTTGTAAAAGGCCTTAATTTATTTTTTTTGTATTTTTTGTTTTTTGTTTTTAAAGATAGGGTTTAACTATGTTGTTCAGGCTGGTCTTGATGGTCTTGAACTCCCTACCTCAGGTGATCCATTTGCCTTGGCCTCCAAAGTGCTTGGATTACAGGCGTGAGCCACCATGCCCGGCCAAAAGCCTTAATTTGTATTGTCCACCTAAAGTGTATACAAAAGCCCATTTCTCAATGTGATAGGTAAAATATATATCAATTTTTAAGTTAGTTCTCTGGTTATTAGAATTATTAGTGAGATTTAGCATCCATCCATCCATCTACCTATCAGCATATTATATGATCATTTATGTAACAAAAAAATCGAGGACAGGTGTAGTGGCTCACACCTGTAATCCCAGGACTTTGGGAGACTGAGGCAGGAGAATCACTTGAACCCAGGAGCTCAACACCACCATGGGCAAAACAGTGAGACCCAGTTTCTACAAAAAGAAAAAAATTAGCCAGATGTGGTGGCATGCCTGTAGTCACAGCTACTCAGGAGGCTTAGGCAGGAGGCTCACTTAAGCCCAGGAGGTCAAGGCTGCAGTGGGCTGTGAACATGCTACTGCACTCCAGCCTGTCCAGCCAGGGTGACAGAGTGAGAACCATTTCAAACAAACGAACAACAAAAAAAATCTGTCTATACACTCAAATGTTTGCATATAAATTCATATAAAGAAGACTGGAAGGATACACATTAAACATATTATATTATGTCATGCCATGGTGGTTCATACCTGTAATCCCAGCACTTTGGGAAGCCAAAGGGGGAAGAGTGCTTGAGAACAGGAGTTCGAGACCAGCCTGGCCAACAAGGTGAAACCCCATTTCTACTAAACGTACAAAACTAGGCCGGGTGTGTGGTGCACACATGTAATCCCAGTTATTTGAGAGGCTGAGGCAAGAGAATCACTTGAACTTGGAAGGTGGAGGTTGTAGTGAGCCCAGACATTGCCACTGCATTCCAGCCTGGGCAAGAGAGCAAGACTCTGTAGAGGTGGGGTTTTACCACATTGGCCAGGCTGATCTCAAACTCCTCACCTCAGGTAATCTGCCCCCCTCTGCCTCCCGAAGTACTGGGATTACAGGTGTGAGCCACCATGCCCCCCCACCCCAGCCTATTCATGCATTGTTTATGAAAAATTTTAAAAGGCTGTGCCTGATCCTGGAGGTTTTATGTATGCTAAGTACAAGCTTTCATTTTTTGCCTTAAGTAATGGGAAACTCTGAAGTAGCTTAAGCACATGGATGACAGAAACAAATTCCTTTTCTTGGTGGGGAGGGTGGTCAGGGTCTTGCTCTGATGCCCAGGCTGGTGAGCAAATGTGTGATCATGGCTCGCTGCAGCCTTCACCTCCCAGGCTCAAGTAATCCTCCTACTTTTAGTCTCCTGAGTAGCTGGGACCACTGGCACATGCCACCATACCCGACCAATTTTTTCTAGAGATGGGGACTCTGTTTCCCATGTTCCACCGGTCTCAAATTCCTGTCCTCAAGTGATCCTCCACCTCAGCCTCCTGAAGCACTGAGATTACAGGTGTGAGCCACTGTACTCAACTGTACTTTCTATTCTACAGGCCATAGCCAGATGCTCAATTCTACCCTCATACTTCACCCTCTTTCTTGGCTAAGAAGTCACTTTACAAGAGAGCAGGACAGCATATTTGTGCCCAGTCGATCAAATGTGTATTCTGAAACAGGCCCAGGCATACTGCTTCCCTCGTCTTAAGCCACTTTTGGTTACTGCTCCTACCTGTTCCATTCAAGTAGTCCTTGGCCAGCTCAAACAATCTGAGGTGCATGTTGGTGATGGGATTGAAGGAACCACAAGCAAGGAGAACCACTTCAGTCTTCTCGGAATTTTCCATGGTAAGAACTCGAAGTTGTTGATCTAAATGGAAAACTGTGACACCTCCCTTGTTGTCTACAAAGGAAAAAAAAATGCAATCAGTTATACATTTTTTTTTTTTTTTTTTTTTTTTTGAGACGGAGTTTCGCTCTTGTTACCCAGGCTGGAGTGCAATGGCGCGATCTCGGCTCACCGCAACCTCCGCCTCCCGGGTTCAGGCAATTCTCCTGCCTCAGCCTCCTGAGTAGCTGGGATTACAGGCACGCGCCACCATGCCCAGCTAATGTTTTGTATTTTTAGTAGAGACGGGGTTCACCATGTTGACCAGGATGGTCTCGATCTCTCGACCTCGTGATCCACCCGCCTCGGCCTCCCAAAGTGCTGGGATTACAGGCTTGAGCCACCGCGCCTAGCTATACATTTTTTTTTTAAGATGAGGTCTTGCTCTGTCACCCTGGCTAGAGTGTAGTAGTGCAACTATAGCTCACTGCACCCTCAAACTCCTGGGCTCAAGTGATTGCTCCCACCTCAGCCTCTGAAGTAGCTAGGAACACAGGCACATACCAATAGGCTGGCTAGTTATTTTAAAAATTATTTTTTGTAGAGATGGGGTCTTGCTATGTTGCCCAGGCTGGTCTCAGACTCCGGGGCTCAAGCAATCCTTCTGCCTGTCTCTCAAAGTGCTGGGATTACAAGCATGACTCACCGCGCTCAGCCCAGTTACAGATCTTCTGATGTCCTTCCATGTTCTCATTCCCAATAAATGAATGAAAAATATTTGACTTTGGCCAGGTGCAGTGGCTCATGCCTATAATCCCAGCACTTTGGGAGGCTGAGGCAGGTGGATCACAAAGCCAAGAGATCAAGACCATCCTGGCCAACATGGTGAAATCCTGTCTCTACTAAAAATATAAAAATTAGCTGAGCATGGTGGTGCATACCTGTAATGTCAGCTACTTGGGAGGCTGAGGCAGGAGAATCGCTTGAACCTGGGAGGCGGAGGTTGAGTGAGCTGAGATCGCGCCACTGCACCAGAGCCTGGCGACAGAGCCAGATTCCATCTAAAAAAAAAAAAATTTTTTTTTGGCTTCAATCATTATGCTAAGTGAACTGTCAAAATGCTTCCATGTCCCATCCCTCCTTTTTGTTTTATTTTTTTTTTTCCTTCAAGACGGAATCTCATTCTGTTGCCCTGGCTGAAGTGCAATGGCCTGATCTCAGCTCACTGCAACCTCCGCCTCCTGGATTCAAGCAATTCTCCTGCTTCAGCCTCCTGATTAGCTGGGATGACAGGCACACACCACCATGCTCAGCTAATTTTTGTATTTTTAGTGGAGATGGGGTTTCACCATGCTGGTCAGGCTGGTCTCGAATTCCTGACTTCGTGATCTGCCTGCCTTGGCCTTCCAAAGTGCTGGGATTGCAGGCATCAGCCACCATACCTGGCCCATCCCTCCTTTTCAATGTGAATTTGCAGCTCATACCACGAAGAGATGGAAGTGACTTCCCCACATTTTTTGACTTGCTTTTGCCGAAAGAATGTGGCACAAGTAATAGTGTGGAGGATGCCAGAACACGTGGGAGAAAGCTGATGCTCTCACTGATAGCCATCCAACTGTTCCACATGTGGGGAACACGGCCATCCCCCACCAGCCAACAACTACAGTCCATCTGCTCGGACACATGAGCAAACCCAAGTGAGGGCAACCAAACCTGGCTCAGACTGTCAAGCCAACAAGCTGACCCTACTCTCAAAGGCAAAAATGAGCGTTTATTATCATGTGTTACTCAAGTTTTGTGACCTGCGCTATTACAGCCTCAGTTAATTAATACATTATCATCTACCAAATACAGCATTTTTGCCTTTTAGTCAACATGACAGTAACACCATAACTTTCCATTGAATAACAGTATATAATTTACAAACCTCTTTTCCATATCAATTATTCCACTGATCCTTCCATAACCTAATGAAGTAATTAAATGCAAGGTATCCAATTTTAAATTTTTATTAATTTTTTTTTTTTTTTTTTTTTTTTTTTTTCTGAGACGGAGTTTTGCTCTTGTTAACCCAGGCTGGAGTGCAATGGTGTGGTCTCGGCTCACTGCAACCTCCGCCTCCTGGGTTCAGGCAATTCTCCTGCCTCAGCTTTCCTGAGTAGCTGGGATTACAGGCACGCGCCACCATGCCCAGCTAATTTTTTTGTATTTTTAGTAGAGACGGGGTTTCACCATGTTGACCAGGATGGTCTCGATCTCTTGACCTCGTGATCTGCCCGCCTCGGCCTCCCAAAGTGCTGGGATTACAGGCTTGAGCCACCGCGCCCAGCCTAATTTTTTTTTTTTTTAAGACAGAATCTCCCTCTGTCACCACGTTGGAGTGTGGTGGCGTGATCTTGGCTCACCGAAACCTCTGCCTCCTGGGCAATACTCCTGCCTCAGCCTCCCGAGTAGCTGGGACTACAGGCAGGTGCCACTATACCCAGCTAATTTTTTGTATTTTTAATAGAGACGAGGTTTCACCATGTTGGCCAGGATGGTCTTGATCTCCTGACCTCGTGATCTGCCTGCCTCAGCCTCCCAAAGTGCTGGGATTACAGGTGTGAGCTACCTCACCCAGCCTAAACTTTTTTATTCAACTAATTCATATATACAGATCTAGAAAATCACAGAGCGAAAAAGGCCCTTAGTGAAAACCAACAGCCATCAATCATATCCCATTCACCATCCCTTCCATCCAGCTCCCAGAGGCAACCACTTTTAACTTTTTGAGCTATTTCTTCTGGGAGTTACTGCCATAACTCTATATTATGTGCTTATAATGCCATTTCTTTTTTTTCTTTTTTTGAGACGAAGTTTCGCTCTTATTGCCCAGGCTGGAGTGCAATGGTGTGATCTTGGCTCACTGCAACGTCCGCCTCCCAGGTTCAACCATATTGAATTCAGTATGGTTCATGCAGAACCATACCCAGTTAACTTTTGGACTTTTAGTAGAGATGGGGTTTCACCATGTTGGCCAGGCTGGTCTCAAACTCCTGGTCTTAAGTGATCCATTCGCCTTGGCCTCCCGAAGTGCTGGGATTACAGGTGTGAGCCACCGTGCCCGGGCTAAAAATCTCTATTATTTAGAGCTGAAGCATTTAATCATTTTTTCTGTATTTTCCACCACCTGCCTTCATGCTCTATTTCCAGATAGCCTCAATTTCATCCTCCAATCTGCCTAGTTTTCATTTCTATCGTTACACTCTTAATTTCCAAGAGCCCTATCCTCTGAATATTCCTGTTGATGGTATCCTACTCTTGTTTCTCCATCAGATTATCTTTATTTCTCTACCAATATTCATACTATATTTTAAAGTGTCTTCAAAAAGAGCTGGTAGAACAGGCTGAGCGGGTAGGTAGGGCTTGTGCACAGGGGCCATCACTGTTCAGTAGCCTGTCAGTACTACAGGTCTTTATGCTTGGATTAGTCAGATTCCACAAGAAAGTATACAGAGAGCCTATGCCCTGAAATTAGGCTACCTGGCTTCAAACTGCAGCTCCAACAGCATGACCTTGGATAACCTAACCCTAATTTAACCTTCCTTTTGTCCCAGGTTTTTTTTTTTTTTTTTTTTTTTGAGACAGATTCTTGCTCTGTCACCCAGGCTGGAGTGCAGTGGTGCGATCTCAGCTAACTGCAACCTCTGCCTCCTGGCTTCAAGCAATTTTCCCTGCCTCAGCCTTCCAAATACCTGGGATTACAGGTCCCTGCCACCACACCTGGCTAATTTTGTATTTTTAGTAGAGTCGGGGTTTCACCATGTTGGCCAGGCTGATCTCAAACTTCTGACCTTAAATGATGTACCCACCTCGGCTTCTCAGAGTGCTGGTGTTACAGGCATGAGCCCCAATGCCCACCTTGTCCCAGTTTTTATCAATCTTAAAACGGAACAAATAATACTACCTACCTCCTGATTGTTGTGAGGATTAAATAAAACAACACAGATCCAGGACATAAAACTACATTTGGCAATTAGCAAACATGCTATGAATACAGCTATTACTAATGTTGCACATTGTTATTACAGTTGTCTTTTTTTTTTTTTTTTTTTTTTTTTTTTTTGAGATGGAGTTTCGCTCGTTACCCAGGCTGGAGTGCAATGGCGCGATCTCGGCTCACCGCAACCTCCACCTCCTGGGTTCAGGCAATTCTCCTGCCTCAGCCTCCTGAGTAGCTGGGATTACAGGCATGCACCACCATGCCCAGCTAATTTTTTGTATTTTTAGTAGAGACGGGGTTTCACCATGTTGACCAGGATGGTCTCGATCTCTTGACCTCGTGATCCACCCGCCTCGGCCTCCCAGAGTGCTGGGATTACAGGCTTGAGCCACCGCGCCTGGCCTGTCTTTTGTTTTTTAATTTCTCGTTTTTTGATTTTTGAGACAGGATCTCACTGTTGCCCAGGCTGGAGTACAGTGGTGAAATCTCGACTCACTGCTACTGCCATCTCCCAGGCTCAAGTGATCCTCCGACCTCAGCCTCCCAAGTAGCTGGGACTACAGGCATGTATTAGCTGGTTTTTTGTTTGTTTGTTTGTTTGTTTTTTGAGATGGAGTCTCGCACTGTCACCCAGGCTGTAGTGTAGTGGCGCAATCTCAGCTCACTGCCAATCTCTGCTTCCTGGGTTCAAGCAGTTCTCCTGCCTTAGCCTCCTGAGTAGCTGGGACTACAGGTGTGCACCACCACGCCCAGCTAATTTTTTTTGTATTTTTGGCAGAGACAGGGTTTCACCATGTTGGCCAGGATGATCTTAGTCTCCTGACCTTGTGATCCACCTGCCTCCCAAAGCACTGGGATTACAGTCATGAGCCATCATGCCTGGCCCTGTCTAATTGTTTTTTTGTAGACATGGGGTTTTGCCATATTGCCTACGTTAGTATCAAACTCCTGGGCCCAGAAACTCGAAGCGACCTGCCCACTTTGGCCTTCCAAAGTGCTGGGCTTACAGGTGTGAATCACTGTGGCCTACAAGCAATTTTTTTTAAATCAATAAAATGGCCAGGTATAGTAGCTCACGCCTATAATCCCAGCA